TGTTATATATTCTATACATGAGTTCCTTTGTGAATATTGGCTTGCAAATATTTTTAGTGGTCTGTAATTATTTTTATTTCTATTCATAGTCTTTCAAAGAGCAAACACTTTTAATTTTGATGGAGTCCAACTTGCAATTTTCCCCATTTTCCCTTCAATGGTTCATGCTTTTGGTGTAAAATAACAGAGCTATTTACTTAGCCCTAGATGCAAAGTCATTTTCCTATTTTTTCTGAAGTTTGGTAGTTTTAGTTTTGCATGTAAGTACATAATCAATTTTTTAGTTAATTTTTGTAAAAATGTGAGGTTCAGGCTGAGGTTCAATTTTTTTGGCCTATGGATGTCCAGTTGCACCACCACCATTTACTGAAAAGGCTATCCTTCCTCTATTGAGCTGCTTTTGCAACTTTGTCAAAGATCAACTGTTTTTTTCTCTCTTTTTTTTTTTTTCCTGAGGCAGAGTCTCACTCTGTCTCCCAGGCTGGAGTGCAGTGACCTGATCTCGGCTCACTGCAAGCTCTGCCTCTTGGGTTCACGCCATTCTCCTGCCTCAGCCTCCCAAGTAGCTGGGACTACAGGCACCCACCATGATGCCTAGCTATTTTTTTGTATTTTTAGTAGAGACGGGATTTCACCGTGTTAGCTAGGATGGTCTCGATCGCTTGACCTCGTGATCTGTCTGCCTCGGCCTCCCAAAGTGCTGGGATTACAGGCATGAGCCACCACGTCTGGCGTTTTTTTCTCATTTTATAGTTAGGTTGCTTAATTTCTTATTGTTGAATTTTAAGAGTCATTTGTATGTTTTGAACCCAAGTCCTTTGTGATTTGAAAATATATTCTCAGTCTATGACTTGCCATTTGACCTTCTTAACATAATATTTCACAAAGTAAAAAGGGTTTTTTTCTTTTAATAAAGCTTTTGTCAATTTTTTGTTTCATGGGGTTGTACTTAAAATTTCATCAAGGTACAAATATCCAACAAGGTCACATAGATTTCCTCCTGCATTTTCTTCTACAAGTGGTATAGCTTTGCATTTTACATTTAATTTATAACACATTTTGAGTTAATTTTGTGTAAGGTATAAGATGTGTGTCTAGGTTCATTTTTTAGGGGAGAGGACGTATGTATGTCTAATTGTTTCAGCAGCACTTGAGAAGACTGTCTTCTCTTCATTGAATTGCCTTTGTGATATATATGTGTGTGTGTATATATATGTGTAGATATGTGTGTGTATATATAGATATGTGTGTATATATATACAGACACACACACACATATATATCTCAGTTGACTATATTTGTGAGTCTGTCTCTGGACTTTCTATTCTGTCGCATTGATCTGCATGTCTGTTCTTTCACCAATACCATGATGCCTTCATTGCTTTAGATTTATAGAACATTGTGATGTATTTAATGTCAGGTAATGCAAGTCCTATCACTTTGTTCTTCTCTAATGTTGCATTGGTCTTTTACCTTTCTATAAAAAAATTTAGAATAAGTTTGCCAATATCTTCAAAATAGCTTTCCTGAATTTTGATTAGGATTGTGTTGAATCTATAGCACAAGTTTGAAAGAATTGGCATTTTAACAATATCAATTCCTCCACTATATGAATATTGACTACTTTTCCATTTAATCAGATCTTCTTTGATTTCCATCATCAGTGTTTTGTAGTATTTCACATACAGACGCTAAAGTAATGTTTCAGCTTTATACCTCAATACTTCATTTCTTTGTGTGTGTACTGTTTTAAATAATGTTTTCTAAATTAAATTTCAAATTTTAATTGTTCTATTGCTCTTTTTTGTTACATATGACAATTGACTTTTGTATGTTATACTTACCCACTTAGGTCCAGAAGTTACATTCATTTCAATTTCCTACATAGACCATCATTTCATTTATGAATAAAAATTGGTTTCTTCCTTTCCAATCTATATAATTTTTCTTCTTGTCTTATTTCCCTGGCTAAGACTTCCAGTATGATGTTGAGTATGAGGAGTTAGAGAGGACATATTTGACTTTTTTTTTTTTTTTTTTTGAGACAGAGTCTCACTCTGTTGCCCAGGCTGGAGTGCAGTGGCATGATCTCGGCTCACTGCAACCTCCGCTTCCCGGGTTCAAGGGATTCTCCTGCCTCAGCCTCCTGAGTAGCTAGGATTACAGGTGCCTGCCACCACGCCCAGCTAATTTTTTGCATTTTTAGCAGAGACGGGGTTTCAACAAGTTGGTCAGGCTGATCTTGAACTCCTGACCTCGTGATCTGCCCACCTCAGTCTCCCAAAGTGCTGGGATTACAAGCTTGAGCCACCATGCCTGGCCTTGACTTCTTAATAATCTTAGAAGGCAAATACTTAAGTCTCTTGCCATTAATTCTAACATTAGCCACAGACATCATACACATACTTTATTTGGTTAAGGAAGTTCCCGTCTATTTGTAGTTGAGTGGGTTTCTTTAGATATTTTAATTACAAGCGGTGCTGAATTTTGTTCAAAGCTTTTTCTGCATCTGTTGATAAGATCATACAGCTTTTCTCAGTCTGTTAAGAGGAATATACATATATATGTGTGTGTATATATATCCACATTTATTTGTATGTATACATTCTCATGTATACATAAGAATACACCTATTCTTTGCTGCTACAATGTATTAAAGGCCTTTGATAATGCTTGTTCACTACATCCCATCCCCTTTCACTCGCTCAAATACTTTGTTTCTATAATAGTTTCCCTTTCTCTGGCATCTTCATTTTTTTCTCTTCCTGCACCATTCCAATCACCTCACAAGCATGCTGTATGTACTATCTCCACCAAAACACACAGGTGTGCATGCACAAACACACACATACATATGCACCTCTCTGTATTAATCCAAGTTATCAATTTTTTACCCCACTTCCCTTTGTAGAAAAAAAATTATATGACTCATCTCTCAATTCTCTTGAATCTACTTTAATATTTTTATCCCCACAACTCATCATTTTTGCCAAGGTCGCAAGTGACCTCCACCTTGAGAAGTCTAATGGACAACTCTTTTCCTCTTAAATTTGTTGGCAGTACTTGACATGGCAAAATTGCAAAAGCAACTCAATAGAAGAAGGATAGCCTTTTCAGTAAATGGTGATGGTGCAACTGGACATCCATAGGCCAAAGACATCCCTGTGTCTTTATCCTTCATTTAAAGGAAAGAGGAAAGGGGAACAGGAGGCAGATATAATACTCTCCAAGTTTTCATACCTTCCTTCTCAGGCACTTTGCTGGGCTTGTTCTTTTTCTTTCACCCAACCTCCTAACATAAGAAAACATTAACCTTTAGTTCCTGTTAATGATCTTTCTGCTATTCACATTCATGTTAATAAGTGATTCCATCTGGTCACAGGCATTAGTTAGATAGCATGTATATGAACAGAACACGCCCCAAATTTATCTTTCCTTCCCTGTATTCCATTGTTGAATTCCCACCAAAACTCAAAATTTCCACTGAAATCTCTTATGCCTAATATGCTCCCAAACAAATTCTTGATTACAGCCATCCATTTCCACTAACATTTTCCTCCTTTAGTCCTACCCATCTCAGCTGATGTCAGCTTCTAGCTGCTGAGACAAAAATACTTAAAAACTACAATTCTTTCCACTTTCCCATACCCCTGCATAGCCAAGCCATGAACAAATCCTATTTGCTGTAACTTTAATATATATTCCCAATCTTGCCACTTTTCACTATTTCTGACACTCGCATCCTTAACCAAGCTATAATTACCACTTGCCTGGAATAATTAGAATAGTTTAATTGGTTTTCATTTACTTCTGTTCTTGCCTCCCTGCAGCCTATTCTTCACACAGCAGCTATTGTGATCGTTTAATGTAGAACTCAGATCTAATGGCAAAATTTCTATACCACTTGGAACAAAATTCAAATGTTTGCAGGGTTCTGGTGTCTATGCACTTTGATACTCATTTCCTCTTGCGCTGCTCACTCTCCTCTATTCTGGCCTTCTGACATTGCTTACTCTTCTCCTAGATTTTCCCTTGGTTCCTTCACTTACTTAATTCTAGTCTATGCTGAAGTATCTCTTTAGAAAGCACTTCCCAGAACACTTTAGCCAAACAAACAAACAAACAAACAAAAAAGCCCCTCTGCCATACCCAATCTCTTCACTCTGCTTTCTTTTTCTCCTTTGCACTTATTACTACCAAAAATTTTATCACATATCCAATTATTTCCAATTATTTACTTGCTTACTGTATATTGTCTCTCATTAGAAAATATGCTTCATCTGGATGGTGGCTTTACCTGTGTAGCTTCATAACCATATTTCCTGAAGGGCTCCTGTCATTCAGGTGGCACTCAAATATTTACTGCATGACTAAATGAATGAATCAAAGGAAGGGGCAAGAGACACAGGTGTTCCCATTCTCTAGAATTTTTAAAACATAATGACACTACTTGTAAAAACAACAAAACACCGAAAACACAGTTATAAAGAGTGTAGAAATTAGTAAATAATAATTGTGTACCTCCCTAAAAGATAAGAGTTCTTAAGGAAAGGTGGGGAACCTGTTGTACACAAGTTATAAGAAAACGTGTCAGTGACTGTGGACAAAAGGGAAGCATGGCCTATGCCCGCAATGTCTATACATTCTTATTAAATTATTAAAGTCTTGGAGTACTCAGATATATGGAGTCTTATTCAACTGTGGATGAAACATACACAAAAAATATTTCTGATCCTATATTAATACATCCATGAGATGGTGTTATATTTAAAATTATTGTAGAATTTCTGAATAACTAAATAAGAGTCATTTGCTACATGCATATTTATGTAGATTTTTAAATATAGTTAACTAAAAAATTGGGAATTTCATGGGCAATTACACAAGTTATTCTAAAGCAAGATACTATAGTGGTAAATCTGTCAAGCTTTGGAATGAAAGTTAAAAAATGAAGAACCTCAAAGAATTTTTACTTATAATTCATAAGACATCTCTTCTTCTTTTTTTTTTTTTTTTTGTAGTTAGCTATTTAATGGGTTCTTAAGACATTTAGAACACCGGTTTGAGAGGATCAATTCCATTCGTCAGGGCAAACACAGATTGCAGGTAGCCCTGGAGCTGAGGAACAGCTTTGACTTTTGGTAAAATTTGTGAGTCCACAGCTTTCTGATCAATCTTGTGCTGCTCCGTAATCTCCTATTTCTCTTTTTCTGTGTCGAAGATCTCACCTTCCTGGTGTCTGGGCTTCAGCAGCTGCTGCTTCTTGAAGTAAGCATCAGTAAGATGTTTTGGGATTTTGACATTGCTGATATCGATTTTGGTTGAGGTGGCAATGACAAATTTCTGGTGTGTTCTTCGTAGAGGAACTCAATTGAGGACCAGAGGTCCAGTCACAAGTAACAAGCCACTAGCCAGCTGCTTCAGGAAAACCACCCTCTTGCCCCTGTGGCGTCCAGTGAGGATGATCAGAATGGTCCCAGGGGTAATGCTGGCTTGCAGTTTTCTCAGTGCTGACTGATGGGTTTTTTTTTTTTGCCATGGCTCAACAGCTTTCGAGGCACATCTTCAGTAGGATAATATCGAGGCATTCTGCGAAGTTTAACCACCCGGGTACCGCCGTTCTTGTCACCACCAACTGGTTCTATTAGAGTTGCAAGAAGCTCCTCCTCCTTTTTCTTTTCAACCTTGGATTTAGCGGCTGAGTACTTCCTCTTGTACATGGCCTTTCTGGAATACATGGCAGATCGGGAATACCTGCCAATTTCTCTGACAAGGACAGGGTTGCGGCTGTAATGGGGCTTCCCCTTCTTGGGCTTTTTAGCCTTGAGGCTACCCTTTTTCACCCTGCCACCAGCATCAGCCTTCTTGGCTTCGGGTTTCTTCTCTTTAGTATCTGGCTTCTCAACTTTTTCACCCGCCATCTTGCAAGATGGGAAAGAGACGTCTCTTCTTTTGAGAAGTTTCTGTTCATGTCCTTTGTCCACTTTTTAATGGGGTGGTTTGGTTTTCTTTAGGAAGTTTGAAGTTCTGTATAGATGCTGGACATTAGACCTTCACTAGATGCATAGTTTGCAAAAATTGTCTCCCATTCTGTACGTTGCCTGTTCAGTCTGATGATAGTTTCTTTCGCTGTGCAGAAACTCATCAGTTTAATTAGATCCCATTTGTCAATTTTTGCTTCTGTTGTAATTGTGTTTGACATCTTCATCATGAAATCTTTGCCTGTGCCTATGTCCTGAATGGTATTGCCTAGGTTGTCTTCCCATTACCCTTAGCAAACAAACGCAGGAAAAGAAAATGAAACACTGCAAGTTCTCACTTATAGGTGGGAGCTAAATGATGAGAACACACGGAGAGAATAAAAAAAATAACTAACGGATACTAGACTTAATACCTGGGTAATGAGATAATCTGTACAACAAACCCCCATGACACGTTACATAGGTATGTATGTTACATAGGCATGTAACAAGCCTCCACATGTACCCCTGAACTTAAAATAAAAGTGTATTTTAAAAAGGCATGATGTCAGCCCGCGAGAAATATTTTTATTAAGTTCAAGATTCACAAAAAGGCATAACGAAAGAAAAATGAAGATAACTATTCTCTCTAGTCCAAAGGTGGCAGTATTCCCCTACTTCTTTTTTTTTTTTTTTTTTTTTTTTTTTTTTTTTTTTTTGAGACGGAGTCTCGCTCTGCCGCCCAGGCTGGAGTGCAGTGGCCGGATCTCAGCTCACTGCAAGCTCCGCCTCCCGGGTTCACGCCATTCTCCTGCCTCAGCCTCCCGAGTACTACAGGCGCCCGCCACCGCGCCCGGCTAGTTTTTTTGTAATTTTTAGTAGAGACGGGGTTTTACCGTGTTAGCCAGGATGGTCTCGATCTCCTGACCTCGTAATCCGCCCGTCTCGGCCTCCCAAAGTGCTGGGATTACAGGCTTGAGCCACCGCGCCCGGCCGATTCCCCTACTTCTTATCAATTGTTTATCTTCTATAGTTTCCTTTATCATTATCTGTATTGAAGTTATTTGAAATCACATATAATCCTGCCCTCAGGAGGCCCTAGCTTTCTTATCATTTCTAGTGCCAAAATAAAATACATATGAAACTAAAGCAAAGGAACACAGGAAAAGTGGCTGAGAAATTGGTACAATAATCTAGGCCAATTGAGGATAAAAGTTCCATGATTCAAAGGATGAAGACAGTGTCTGATAGATGGATATTATGATACAGAGATTTTACTTGGACAATGCTTTACTAAGAAGAGAAATGAGGCTGAGCAAGGTGGCTCACACCTGTAATCCCAGCACTTTCGGAGACCGAGGCGGGCGGATCACCTGAGGACAGGAGTTTGAGACCAGCGTGGCCAACATGGTGAAGCCCCATCTCCACTAAAAATACAAAAAATTAGCCACCGTGGTGGCAGGCGCCTGTAATCCCAGCTACTCGGGAGGCTGATACAGGAGAATCCCTTAAACCTGGGAGGCGGAAGTTGCAGTGAGCTAAGATCACACCACTGCACTACAGTCTGAGCGACAGAGCAAGACTGCCTCTTAAAAAAAAAAGAGAGAGAGAGAGAGAAATGAAAAACCTTAAAACAGGCACAGACACCCATATTCAACATACATTTGATGGTTTCCAAAAGGTCAGTTAAAAATGAGCATTTCTAAAGCTACTGATTAAATCATGCATATGTCTTTTTTTTTTTTTGAGACGGAGTCTCGCTTTGTCGCCCAGTCTGGAGTGCAGTGGCGCGATCTCGGCTCACTGCAAGCTCCACCTCCCGGGTTCACGCCATTCTCCAGCCTCCCAAAGTGTTGGAATTACAGGTGTGAGCCACCGCGCCTGGCCACATATGTCATTTTTAAACAGCTTTATTGAAGCACAAAAGAAATACAATAAAGTGAACATAATTAAAGTGTTTGATAGGTTGCTCTATGTATATATCTGTGAAACCATCAGGACAATAAAAACATTTCAATCATCCCAAAAACTTTCCTTGTGTGTCTCTGTAATTCCTTCTTCCCACTCATCCCTGTCCCACTCTTTAACTCCAGATAATCGCTGATCTGCTTTCTGTGAAATTTTGCATTCTTTAAAATGTATATAAATGAAATCATGCATTGTGTGTACTTTTTTCTGTCTTCTGTCATCCAGCATAATTATTTTCAGATTCATCTATATTGTAGCATTGATCAATGATTCATTCTTTTTTTATTGCTTAATAATAAGTATGAACATAACATATCCATTCAATTGTTGATAGAAATTTGGGTTGTTTTCACTTTTTGGCTATTAAAATAAAGTTGCAATGAACATTAATATATGAATCTTTGTATGAACATATAATGTTCTTGGCTAAATCCTTAAGAATGGAATGATCAGATCATATTTCTTTAAAAAAAAAAACTGCCAAACTTTTTCAAAATACATGAATCAAGTTTCTATTACTTCTTTAGTCAACTTTGGTAGTTTGTGTTTCTAGAAATTTTTCCATTTCATCTATGTTATCTAATTTGTTGTAATACAATTGTTAATTTTATTTCCTCATAATCCTTTTATTTATCTAAGGTCAGCAGCAATGTCCTTTTATGCCCAGTTGTAATAACTGAATATTTTCTCTCTCTCTCTCTCCATCTCTGTCTCCCCTTCCTTCTCTTTTTTTGCTCTCTCTACTTTTCTTGGTGAGTCTAACTATAAGTTTGTCAATTCTCCTAATCTTTACAAAGTACAAAGTATTACTTTGTTGATTTTCTCTACATTTTCCCATTCTCCAATGTATTTACTTCTACTCTAATCTTTACTATTTCCTTCCATTTGCTTTCAGTTTAGTTGGTCTTTCTTTTTTACTTTCTTGTAGTGAAATTTTGGTGATTTATTCCTCATATAGGTGCTTACAGCTGTGTTTCACGCTGAGCACTGCTTTAGCTGCATCCCATAGGTTTTGTTGTGTTTTCTTTTTCTTCATCTCTAGGTATTTTCTAATTTCCTTTGTGATTTCTTTTTTGACCTACTGTTCTTTGAGTAGCATGTTGGTTAATTTCTACATATTTGTGAATTTCTCTAATTTTCTTCTATCATTGTTTCCCAATTTTATTCCATTGTGTTTGGAGAACATACTTTGATGTCAGGTCTATCAAATTTTTTATCATGACATATTTCTGAGTTTATACTTTCTGGAATTTGTTGAGCTTTTGGTGTTTTTAAAAAATCAAATTTTGGAAGTTTTCATCATTATCTTTTTCTTTCTGTTACTCTAACTATATAATTTCAATTGACCTAACTTTAAGTTCCCTAATTCTTTTTCTGACTGTTCAACTCTGCTATTTAGCCAATCTAGTGAATTTTTTTTTTTTCAGTTATTGTGCTTGTCCACTCCTGATTTTCTATTTTGTTCTTTAAAAAAATTTTTCTATTTTTTTTTAAACTTTAAGTTCAGGGATACAGGTGCAGGTTTGTTACATAGGCAAATTTATGTCATGGGGGTGGTGTTGTACAGATTATTTCATCACCCACGTATGAGGCCTAGTACTGATTATTTTTCCTGATCCAATATTTACTATTTTCTGAGACACTGCACTCATACTTTCCTATAGTTCTTCTGACATGGTTTCCTTTAGCTCTTTGAAATAACTGATTTAAAATAGCCAACTTAGTCTTTGTCTAGTCAGCCCAATGTCTGGATTTCCTCAAGAACAATTCTCTACTAACTGCTTTTCACCCTTTGGGCCATATATTCTTATTTACTTGCATGCTTCTTAATATATTTTTGTTGGAAACTGGACACTTTAAATTACATGGCAACTCTGGAAATCAGATTTGCCCACCTGCCCCAGGTTTTGTTATTGTGATTATTTAGCATCGTTTTAGTAACATTTCTGAAATAAATCTGTAAAGTCTGTATTTTTTGTTGTACTGAAGTACTGGATCAGTTCACTTAGTGGTCAGCAAACTATTGGAGAGATTTCCCTAAACACTGGGAAGCAAAGTCTCTCAGTTTTTGCCAAGGGCCTCTGGGTATGTGTTGGGCACACCTTTAACACTAAGCCAGGCAGCCTGTGTGTAAATTCCATGGGATTTTCTATGTAGACAATCACATAATCTGCAAATAAAGGCAGTTTTACTTCTTCCTGCCATTCTCCATGTGGTTTATTTCTTCTGCTTTCCTTATTGCATTGGCTAGAAACTCCAATACTATTGAATAGAACAGAGGCATCCATTTTTTTTTTAACCATGGGGGAATGCATTCATTCTTTGACTATTAAGAATAATGTCAGTTGCTGTTAACTGTAGCTTTTATTTTTATATGTCCTTGATTGGATTCAGGAAGGTGCTTTCTAATACTGTTTGCAGGAATTGATGTTAAATTTTGTCAAATGCCTTTCTGCATCGATTGAGATGATTATATCATTTTTCTTTCTTTACCTCTAGCAATATTCTTTGCTCTGAAATCTACTTTGCCTGTTATTAACATAGCCACTCCAGCTTTCTTTTAAGATGAGCATGCCGTATCTTTTTCAAACATGTTTGTCTATAGTATTTGTGAATTTATGTTTAAAGTTAATTTCTTAAAAGCAGCATGTAGTTTTGTTGTTTTTAACCTATTCCAACCATTTCTGCCTTTTTAAAGGATGCTTAGTTCATTTAGATATAGTTTTTCATTGTTATTTTGATTTGTATTTCTCTAATGATCAGTGATATTGAACTTTTCTACATATGATTGTAAGCCACGTGTATACTTAACTCAAATAACTTTTATTTTGGATGGAAAAGAAAGCATGTTTATTATAATCTGTAAAAATAAAAAATAGTAAGTATTTAAATGTAAGACTGTAACTACAGTAATAGTTTAGAGATGTGAGTGGTCTGTTTGGACTGAGGAAGTCAAATGTTTCATGAGGAAAATGGAATCTAAATTCAACTCTAAGACAACAGAAAAAGATGAAAGACACATAACAGGCTCAAACACAAGTAAATGTATCCACAGAGGATGTCAGGATGATTGGCTAAGATGGAAAAGGGTTAGATTATGGAAGGCCAGGTCATAAAGAGCCCTGAAATTACAGGAGATGTTGAGGTGCCATGCAAACCTTCTGCAGGTTTTTTAATCAGGTGAAAGGTAAATAT